GTCTGTGAAATGGGAAGGGTAGCCAAGACGGGAAAATGAATTATGAAGAGTGGAAATTTCGGATTGAAGGAACTGAGGATCACATATGCGGAGAGCACGGAGAAAGAGGGAGATAAGAACACTTTTCTTGACAGAGGAAGCATGATAAGAAAAGTAGTGAATGTACATGCCACTGTGCATAGGTTTGCGGTAAACGGAAAAGGCAAAACCTGTATCTGAGCGGTGGAGATGGACATCAAGGAAAGGAAACAAGGAGTTAGATTCCCATTCAGCTTTAAACTTAATGGAAGGAGCAAGATTATTAAGAGCTTCAAGAAATAGTTGGAAGAGACAAGTCATGAGGCCACAGAGCAAAGATGTTATCAACATAGCAGAGCCAGAGTGAAGGTTGCACATCGATAGTTGGAAGAAGAACAGTCTTGAAGTATTCCATGTAAAGATTAGCAAGGACAGGAGAGAGAGAGGAGAGCCGAAGGTTTGAGAATAATATTTCCCTTGGAAGGAAAAGGAATTAGAGTCCACACAGAGGCGGATAAGATCAAGAAAGACATCAGTAGGTATAGGGAGATGAAGAAACCCTTCAGTGGCCTTCTCTCTAAGAAAATCAAGGACATCATATACCCATATATACCCATCCTACTCTCCCTTTCGTTAGTGTGACTTTGTAAATGGTTCAAGACGGACCGAAACGTCGTCGTAAGCTCCTCTCTCCTAAGTGCGGGTTATTTGTGTATTGTTCCAGTCACGGTATTGTGCCTTTTTTTGTTAGTTACACTGAGTGTAACTGTTTAATACTAGAATTTGCATATACCTGTTACATATCCGTTATTTTGCTGTTGATAACAGTTATTGAAGTTTCCCAGAATTATTGTCTCGCTATTGTGCTCATATCTGGGGAAGTCAATTCACTGACTTCAGTTTTACAATCGCCAAATTATACGATAATCCAGATCTCTGATGGGCTACCATACATTGTACCTCCATTAATATTACACCTACGGTGTCTGTTAAATTAAATAGAAAAAATAATGTTATAATAATAATTAATGATTCCTTAACATGAACACGTCAACAGTGTCGTAGCAGCATGACGAGTGTCATGAAACTCTACGATACTCACCTCCAAGGACAGAGAGGGACAATATTAACATTATGATGCCTCCAAGGACAGAGAGGGACAATATTAACATTATGATGCCTCCAAGGACAGAGAGGGACAATATTAACATTATGATGCCTCCAAGGACAGAGAGGGACAATATTAACATTATGATGCCTCCAAGGACAGAGAGGGACAATATTAACATTATGATGCCTCCAAGGGCAGAGAGGGACAATATTAACATTATGATGCCTCCAAGGACAGAGAGGGACAATATTAACATTATGATGCCTCCAAGGGCAGAGAGGGACAATATTAACATTATGATGCCTCCAAGGGCAGAGAGGGACAATATTAACATTATGATGCCTCCAAGGGCAGAGAGGGACAATATTAACATTATGATGCCTCCAAGGACAGAGAGGGACAATATTAACATTATGATGCCTCCAAGGGCAGAGAGGGACAAAATTAATATTATGATACCTCCAAGGACAGAGAGGGACAATATTAACATTATGATACCTCCAAGGACAGAGAGGAACAATATTAACCTAATGATGCCTCCAAGGACAGAGAGGGACAATATTAACATTATGATACCTCCAAGGACAGAGAGGGACAATATTAACATAATGATACCTCCAAGAATAGAGAGGGACAATATTAACCTTATGATATCTCCAAGGACAGAGAGGGACAATATTAACATAATGATACCTCCAGAATAGAGAGGGACAATATTAACCTTACAATACCTCCAAGGACAGAGAGGGACAATATTAACATTATGATACCTTCAAGGACAGAGAGGGACAATATTAACATTATGATACCTCCAAGGACAGAGAGGGACAATATTAACCTTATGATACCTCCAAGGACAGAGAGGGACAATATTGACCTTATGATACCTCCAAAGACAGAGAAGGACAATATTAACATTATGATACCTCCAAGGACAGAGAGGGATAACATTAGCATTACGATACCTCCAAGGACAGAGAGGGACAATATTAACTTTATGATACCTCCAGGGACAGAGAGGGACAATATTAACATTATGATACTACCAAGGACAGAGAGGGACAATATTAACATTATGATACCACCAAGGACAGAGAGGGACAATATTAACATTATGACACCTCCAAGGACAGAGAGGGATAATATTAGCATTACGATACCTCCAAGGACAGAGAGGGATAATATTAGCATTACGATACCTCCAAGGACAGAGAGGGACAATATTAACTTTATGATACCTCCACGGACAGAGAGGGACAATATTAACATTATGATACCACCAAGGACAGAGAGGGACAATATTAACATTATGACACCTCCGCTTGTTATGCGGAGCATTTCCCGCAAATTAGGTCAGTTTTGTCCCAGGATGCGACCCACACAGTCGACTCACACCCAGGTACCCATTTTACTGATGGGTGAACATGGACAGCAGATGTCTTAAGCAAACACGTCCTAATGTTTCCACCTGTACCGGGGATCGACCCGGACCTCTGTGTGTGAGATGAGTGCGCTAGCAATCTCGCTACGTTGGGACCAAAAACACAGGGAGGTGGGGGGGACAGGACAGAACACAATTAGGCAGAGGAAAGGAAAACAAAGAAAGAAAAAAGACAAAAAATAGGAAAGGAAAGAGGTATGGAAAGGAGGAGAATAAAGGATCAGGTCAAGTCACGAGTGTTCTGGAGTTTGGAACATTTATGACAATGTAATAAGAAAGGAAGGCATCTACAGAGATTAAACCAAAACTAAGGTTCACACAGGGAAAGATATGTATAAGGAAGGATTCAACAAGATGGCGACTGTGAAGGCTAGAAGAAGGGAAGACAGTTTTATCAGAGGACCAGTCAATAAGATGATTGTGATCTCTAACATGACATAAAGAACATTATTAGTGTCGGCAAGTCTGACACTGTTTTTTTTTTTTTTTTTTTTTTTTTTTTTTTTTTTTTTTTTTTTTTTTTTTGTGGTCTTTAAGTCTGTCAGAAAGAAAGTGACCAGTTTCTCCAAGGTACTGGAGATAACTAGAGGAGCATCAAGTAGAACAGACACCAGGGCTATCTATAGCAGGCGAGGTATGAGCTAGATCACTGCGAAGGGTGTTAGATTGGCGAAAACTAAGTTTGATGTTTAAGGAACGAAGAGAGTTGCTGAGATTAGAAAGACTTGAAATATAAGGAAGGCAGAGAACAGGAGATTTCACAGGAGTAGAGAGTTTGAGAGAGAAGAAAGTCGGTTTAACAAGTGAGAAGGCAGAGTTTTTGAAATCGGAAAAGTAGCCAAGACAAGAGAATGAATTGCAAAGAGTGGAAATTTCTGATTCAATGAACTGAGGGTATCGAATTAAGAGAACACGGAGAAAGAGAGAAATAAGAACATTTATCTCGGTCCTACTCCTTGTGGGCACTTGGCTCTCCTGCTGTGTTCCTTTTTCTTGTCCTTAGACTGACGCCATTTCTACATCACTACTACTACCACTCCATTTTTAGTACTGTTGCTATTGCCATTACTATTGCTTCCCTTCACCCTTCACCCCCTGTCTCTCTTGTATCCCTAACTACTTTTCCTACTGTCTATTACCACTAATACTTCCACCCAGGTCACGGAGTTACTCTGGCACTCGGTCTGCGGCCTAGGTGCCGGGAGTGGCTAGGTTGGAACAGAGCTTTTGAGAATTGAAAGCCTAATACCAACGAGAACACCGGCCCTGACACCACTTGAACCCAAGACGTGTTGTACCCTAACTACAGGACGTCGACGACGATTGTAGCTAACTGCTGCACCACTTGTGCTGAAGATGTGTCGTTGTCATAGGACTGCCACCGCCATAGGGCTATAAACAGTACATAACTTGACACGAATGCTCACAGCGCCCCTGCCATACCTGGAGTATACCTGGAGAGGGTTTCGGGGGTCAACGTCCCCGCAGCCCGGTCTGAGACCAAGCCTTGTGGTGGATCAGGGTCTGATCAACCAGGCTGCTACTGCTGGCCTCACGCAAACTGACGTACGAACCACAGCCCGGCTGGTCAGGTACTGACTTTAGGTGCCTGTCCAGTGCATTCTTGAAGACAGCCAGGGGTCTGTTGGTAATCCCCCTTATGTATGCTGGGAGGCAGCTGAACAGTTTTGGGCCCCTAACACTTACTGTGTTGTCTCTCAGTGTACTCGTGGCGCCCCTGCTTTTCATTGGGGGAATGTTGCATCTCCTGTCGAGTCTTTTGCTTTCATAGGGAGTGATTTTTCGAGTGCAAGTTTGGTACTAATCCCTCTAGGATTTTCCAAGTGTATATATTATCAAATTACCATAGGCTGTAAACGGTACTACACTTGAGACGAATGTTCACCGTGCCTCTGCCATAGGGCTATATACGGTACACTCCTTCGGAAGCTACTACTGGGTCACCACATGGAGAAGACCCGGGCCAGGACCCATTCTGGAGAACCTACTTGAATTTGAACTCTCTTGTGTTAGTGTGACTTAGTAAATGGTCCAAGTCGGATTGAAACGTATACATAAACACTCCAACGTGCGGGTTATTTGTGAAAATATTAACCTGCCAAAGTTGTGAATCGATGTGGTACACTCGTGAATCAACACTTTCAGACTTACCTCCAAGTCTGGTCGCAATGATTCTCACCGTGTCTCTTGCTTGTCACTGCCTTACTGTACATATCTTCTGTATATTGTACATACATGCTTGCTGTCTGGTGAAGGAAATATAAAAAATTTCCCTCTCTTCTGCCTTTTTGCTCATTCCTACCTTGGTTATCTTGTTACAACCAGGTGTGTGGGCCAGTAGATACACCTGTGCTCGTTATAGATACTCACCTCCAAGGACAAAGAAGGAAAATATTGATCTTATGACACTCACCTCCAAAGATAGAGAAGGAAAATAGGAGATATATGACAGAGGTAGCGAAGGTGGAAATGATGAGAGAGCAAGAGGCGGTGATGGCAGACACTAAGGCCACTTTCCTCCAGCCGAACACCTCCACCAGAGGACCAATAACAAACCCAGTAGCATTCCACACTAGCTGCAAGATACTGATCAACCAACCCACGGTAGCAGAGGATGTGCCCAGACCAAGCAGGAATGGTGAGAATATGATGCTGAAGCAAGGACCAACCATGTTTGTCATTAACTGAGGAATAAAATGAGAAGATATCAGTTTAAAGAAATTATCGGAATAATTGACAATGTATTATAGGTGACATTATGCTTAGCGAAGTATAATTCAAATAAGGGAATAAAATATTATTGTAGATAATTTTGTAAGACAGAGAAATATTCAGACACCAAACATTACTTTTCAAACATAATTTGCTAGGAATACTGGATAGAAATAAGAGTAATTAAACAATATGGGCAGTGTTCTACACGATATACAGTAGACGTCATGAACACCTGAGAGACACAAGAAGAACCAGTGAAGCTTCTGTAACGAAGACGATGCTCCATACCATGCTGCATGGTGCTCCATGCCATGCTGCATTGTGCACCATGCCATGCTGCATGGTGCTCCAAGCCATGCTGCATTGTGCACCATGCCATGCTGCATGGTGCTCCAAGCCATGCTGCATTGTGCACCATGCCATGCTGCATGGTGCACCATACCATGCTGCATGGTGCACCATGCCATGCTGCATGGTGCACCATACCATGCTGCATGGTGCTCCATGCCATGCTGCATTGTGCACCATGCCATGCTGCATTGTGCACCATGCCATGCTGCATGGTGCACCATGCCATGCTGCATGGTGACATACCATGCGCATGGTGCTCCAAGCCATGCTGCATTGTGCACCATGCCATGCTGCATTGTGCACCATGCCATGCTGCATGGTGCACCATGCCATGCTGCATGGTGCACCATGCCATGCTGCATGGTGCACCATGCCATGCTGCATGGTGCGCCATGCCATGCTGCATGGTGCACCATGCCATTCTGCATGGTGCTCCATGCCATGCTGCATGGTGCACCATGCCATGCTGCATGGTGCGCCATGCCATGCTGCATGGTGCACCATGCCATTCTGCATGGTGCTCCATGCCATGCTGCATGGTGCACCATACCATGCTGCATGGTGCACCATACCATGCTGCATGATGCAGCGTAGCACCTAAAATAGTACCCAGAATAGTACCCAGGATAGTGCCTAGGATAGTACCCAGGATATTACCTAGGATAGTGCTCAGGTTAGTACCTAGGATAGTACCTGTGATAGTACCCAGGATTGTACCAGGATAGTACTTAGGATAGTACCCAGGATATTATCCAGGATAGTACCCAGGATAGTACCCAGGATAGTGCCCAGGATAGTACCTAGGATAGTACTCAGGATAGTACCTAGGATAGTACCTAGGATAGTATTCAGGCTAGTACCCAGGATTGTACCTAGGATAATACCCAGGATAGTACCCAGGATAGTACCTTGGATAGTACTCAGGGTGATGCCCAGGATAGTACCTAGGATAGTACTCAGGATAGGACCTATCAAAGTACCCAGGATATAACCCAGGATAGTATCCAGGATAGTACCCAGGAGAGTAACCAGGATAGCACGCAGGATAGTACCCAGAATAGTACCTAGGATAATACTCAGGATAGTACCCATGATAGAACTTTGGATAGTACCTAGGATAATACGCAGGATAGTACCCAGGATAGTACCTATAATAGTACCCAGTATTCTACTTGGGATAGTACCCAGGTTAGTACCTAGGATAGTACCTAGGATAATACCCATGATATTACCCAGGATAGTACCTAGGATAGTGCTCATGTTAGTACCTATGGTAGTACTTAGGATAGTACTCAGGATAATACCAGGATAGTACTTAGGATAGTACCTATGATAGTACCCAGGATAGTACCCAGGATAGTACCTAGGATAATACCCAGGATAGTACCTAGGATAGTACCTAGGAAAGTACTCAGGATAGTACCTAGGATAGTACCTAGGATAGTACTCAGGATATTACCCAGGATAGTACCTAGGATAATACCCAGGATAGTACCCAGGATAGTACCTAGGATAGTACTCAGGATAGTGCCCAGGATAGTACCTAGGATAGTACTCAGGATAGTACACAGGATAGTACCCAGGATAGTACCTAGGATAGTACTTAGGATATTACCTAGGATAGTACCTAGGATAGTACTCAGGATAGTACCCAGGATAGTACCTAGAATAGTACCCAGGGTAGTACCTAGAATAGTACCCAGAATAGTACCCAGGATAGTGCCTAGGATAGTACCCAGGATAGTACCTAGGATAGTACTCAGGTTAGTACCTAGGATAGTACTCAGGATAGTACTCAGAATAGTACCAGGATAGTACTTAGGATAGTACCCAGGATAGTACCCAGGATAGTACCCAGGATAGTACCCAGGATAGTGCTCAGGATAGTATCTAGGATAGTACTCAGGATAGTACCTGGGATAGTACCTAGGATAGTATTCAGGATAGTACCCAGGATAGTACCTATGATAATACCCTGGATAGTGCCCAGGATAGTACCTTGGACAGTACTCAGGGTAGTGCCCAGGTTAGTACCTAGGATAGTACTCAGGATAGTACCCAGGATAGTACCCAGGATAGTATCTAGGATAGTACTCAGGATAGTACCTATGATAGTACCTAGGATTGTACTCAGGATAGTTCCCAGGATAGTACCTAGAATAGTACCCAGGGTAGTACCTAGAATAATACCGGAATAGTACCTAGATAGTACCCAGGATAGTACCTAGGATAGTACTCAGGATAGTACCCAGAAAGTACCTAGAATAGTACCCAGGATAGTACCCAGAAAAGTACCTGGAATAGCACCCAGGATATTACCTAGGTTATTACCCAGGATAGTACCCAGGATAGCACCAAGGATAGTACCCAGGGTAGTTGCTAGAATAGTACCTAGAATAGTACCCAGGATAGTATCCAGGACAGTACCCATAATAGTACCTAGAATAGTACTCAGGATAGTACTTAGGATAGTACCCAGGATAGTACCTAGGAGAGTACCCAGGATAGTACCTAGGATAGTACCCAGGATAGTACCCAGGATAGTACCCAGGATAGCACCTACCTACCTGGATTCTACCTGGATGGTATTCCAGGGATCAACGCCCCTGCGACTCGGTGCATGACCAGGCCTCCCGGTGGATCAGGGCATGATCAACCAGGCTGTTACTGCTGGCCACACGTAGACCAACTTACGAACCACAGCCTTGCTGATCCGGCACTGACTTTTGGTATCTGTCCAGCTCCCTCTTGAAGACAACCAGTGGTCTATTGGCAATTCCCCTTATGGCTGATGGGAGGCTGTTGAGCAGTCTTGGGCCCCGGACACTTGCTGTGTTTTCTCTTAGTGTACTAATGGCGCCCCTACTTTTCATTGAGGGTATGTTGCATCGCCTGCCAAGTCTTTTGCTTTTGTAGCGAGTGATTTCTGTGTGCAGATTAGGGACCAGTTTCTCCAGGATCTTCCAGGTGTAGACTATAATGTATCTCTCTCGCCTGCGCTCCAGTGAGTACAAGTCAAGTGCTTCCAAGCGTTCCCAGTAGATAAGGTGTTTGATGGAACTTATAGGTGCAGTAAAGGTTCTCTTTACATTCTCTAGAACTGCAGTTTCACCTTCCATAAATGGAGATGTTAATATACAGCAGTATTCCAGCCTAGAGACAACTATGATCATCAATGGCTTGACATCTCTTGTCTTGAATATTTTCATTATCCATCCTATCAGTTTCCTCGCAGATGTGATAGTGGCATTGTTGTGGTTCTTGAAGGTGAGATCCTTAGACATTACCACTCCCAGGTCCTTCACATTACTTTTCTGCTCTATTGTGTGATTATTTCCTCCAGTTTTCCATAACAGAGTAGTTAGAATTTGTCTTCACTAGACATCATATTGTTCTTCGTTGTCCACTGGAAAACTTGGTTTATATCTCCTTGGAGATTTGCCGTGTCCCCAGTGGATGATTCTCTCATGCTGAGCCTAGTATCGTCTGCAAAGGATGATACGGCGCTATGGTTTACATCTCTGTCTGTCTGATATGACGATGAGGAGCAGGATAGGTGCGAGTACTGTGCCTTGTGGAACAGAGCTCTTCACTATGGCAGCTTCCGATTTAACTCTTATTGTCACTGTTCTTTGTGTTCGATTGGTTAGAAAGTTGAAGATCCATTTGCCTACTTTGCCAGTTATCCCTTAGCACGCATTTTGTTTGCTATTACAACATGATCGCAAATATCAAAGGCTTTTGCAAAATTTGTGTATACTACATATGCATTCTGTTTACTTTCCAGTGCATCCAAGACCATATCATAGTGGTCCATAGTTGCGAGAGGCAGGAGCGACCTGCTCTTAAACCATGTTGCTCTGGATTGTGCAATTGTTGGGAGTCCAGGTGGTTTGCTATTCTGCTTCTTAAAACTCTTTCAAAGATTTTTATGATGTGGAACGTTAAAGCTATTGGTCTATAGTTCATAGCTGCCACCTTTATGGAGTGGGGTTATATCCATTGTTTTTAGTGACTGTGGAATCTCACCTGTGTCTAAGCTCCTTCTCCATAGCATATTTAGGGCCCGTGAGTGTGGCTTTTTGCAGTTCTTAATAAACACAGAGTTCCCCGAGTCTGGGCCTGGGGCTAGTTCATGGGCATATTGCAATGGTTTTTTTCAAAGTCTAGTGATAAAATTATTTGTATTGTCTATCTTTAGACTGATTAGTGGCTCGCTGAACACAGAGTCATATTGAGATTTCAGTATCTCATTCATTTCTTTGTTGTCGTCTGTGTAGGATCCGTCTTGTCTGAGCAGAAGCCCTATACTAGATGTGATTTCTGCCTTGTTTTTTGTATATGAAAAGAAATATTTCGAATTGCTTTCAATTTCACTAATCGCTTTTAGCTCCTCTTGACTTTCCTGGATCATGTTTGAATCCTTTAACTTAAGCTCAATATTTTCCACTTCTCTGGTTAGCGCTTCCTTTCATGTATCAGATAATCTAGCATTCTTGAGGAGCTCAGTGATTCTTCTCCTTCTCCTGTAGAGTGAGTGTCTCTCTCCAATTTACTTCTTCTCTTCTTTTTTCTTAGGGGAATATGCCTTGAACATACTTCAGCTACCAGAAAGTTAACCTTTTCAAGGCAGTGGTTAGGGTCCATGTTATTTAAGATATCTTCCCAACATGTTTCACTTAGAGCATAGTTTACCTGGTCCCAGTTCAGTTGATGGACTGATTACCATGCTTGTTATTTCTGTATTTGACTAAAAAAGCCTACTGTGAAGGCGAAAAGCTTCGATCAACAATAAGATTCACATGTGTTGCACAAGTCCTCTATCGAAGACACTGCAACACTCCAAGCGGACATTAACCAAATTTTTAAATGGGCCGTAGAAAACAATATGCAGTTCAATGAAAAGAAATTTCAATTACTCCGAGATGGATAACTTGAGGAAATTAAAAGTGTATCAGGGTATACAACAAATTCTAACCACACAATAGAGCAAAAACTAATGTGAAGGACCTGGGAGTGACAATATCAGAGGATCTTACTTTCAAAAACCACAACAATGCATCTACCTCATGAGAATCTTGAAAACTAATGACGCCAAGCCCATGATGATTCTCTTCAAATCGCTTGTTCTCTCTAGGCTGGAATACTGCTGTACACTAACTGTCCCCGTCAAGGAAGGTGAAATTGCTGACATAGAGAATGTACAGAGAGCTTTCACAGCACACATAAGTACGATAAAACACCTAAATTAACTGGGAATGGTTGAAGTCCCTTGATTTGTATACCCTGGAATGCAGGCGGGAAAGATATATGATAATATACACTAAGAAAATCCTAGAGGGATTAGTATCAAACTTGCACACGAAAATTTATTTATTTATTTATTTATTTAATAATTTGAACATACATACAGAGGTACAAAAAATACAGGTAAGAGCAGCATGCCAAAGCCACTTGTATGCATAGCATTACGGGCTGGCTTAAAATTAACTTAAGATTAACTAAGCAATGATGTAATCAGTGATAAAACATTATTGTAAACAGATAACTATA